TAAAAAAAACCTGAAAAACTCAAGTTAACGTGACTTTACACAGCTAATGCTACCAGCTTTATCAAAACACCCCGTGTCCATGGAGCCTTAAAAGGCTCAGAGAAGGCAAAAACCCTGCCTCTACCAAGATGGCCACTGGTAAACACCGTGCAGAAAAAAAGCAAGGTAAGTCAGCAATGGGGAAAGAACAGCGGCAGGGAAGCCACAGGTAATGCTGGTGACAAGTCATTTGTCCTTTGTATGACTTTTTTTTTTGGCCACGGCTTTCAGAGTTCAGTTCTCTGTAAAGCAGATATAAACCGAAGAACAAAAATGTAATACAACCAATTCCAAACCAGTTGGGATGCTGTGTAAAATCTACATAAAAACAGAATGCAATGATTTGCAAATCTCATTGACCATATTTTATTCACTACAGAAAACATATCAAATGTGTAAAGCACAACTCCAGGCAAAAACATTTTTACATGCTCTTATTGATGATTTCCAACCTTCACTTAATAGGGCATCCATCCTCTGGTTCACTTGGTCGTTGCCTTGAAATAGCCTATATTTTAATCTACTGGTAATTCCCAGTGGTTTCCTGTTTGTAAGACTGGTGGCTGCTCTGCCTTGTATTCCCGCAGTCTGGACTGCCCATGGAGGTGGTGTCCTAAGAATAATTGCATCCTTTCACTATGAATGACAGCAAAGCCGATATGCTGTCATTCACAGCTGTAGTAGTTGCTAGGGCTACAGATAAGTCCCCTTCTGCCACAACAGAAGATAAACTGATTGACTTTTTGTATCATTACCTAACTATAACACACATGCCCATGATTGTGCACTGTAGTTTGCTGTAATCAAATATTATATTTACTCATCCTCCAGCTTTGAGATTTTTAAATCAGCCAGTGCTTGTATAGTCCATTTGATGACATCCCTAGCCGCAACACAACAGAAACGAAGCACCCGGGACAACTGGATTACATTGCGAACTCTCGGCAATGTAATCTAGTTTACTTTTATTTTGAACTGGTGATCATGCCAACAACACTTCCTGTCAAAGGTTGACAATTCTCGCTCACCATACTGTACCTATGGAGAAGCAGCATTGTCACCATAGGACAGGATTACAAACACCTTCACTTCTACAGTGTTTCATAACACAGCGAAGATATTCAGCATCAGAAGTAGCTGGGATCAATGTAACTGATAACACTGCAGCAGAGGTGGTTATTAGTTGACAAGATTTCTAGCAGAATTAGCAATTTTTTTTGCAATCAAAAAGATGCAACTAAAAACTTTCAACTATATAGTTAACCTACCAAAAGGAACCAAAAGGGAAGTTCACTGCTAGGGTTCACATACCCTTTATAAAAGTATAATCCTGGTGCCATTTTGCATTTGTGTCTTTCCTGGACTTCTAGCTTCCATATGAACTATGCAAGCAGCTGCAACTACATCTAATAAGGCAGGCAGTGCTGTTCTAGTCAATGTATAAAGATTTTCCTTCCTCTTTTTTTATTTAAATATCATTTGTGATCATTTTAGGTCAGTTTTTGCAATCCAGTTCTAACATGATGAACATCTTTCTTTGTTGCTAGTTTAGCATTACTAGTGATGCCATAGAGGTTATAGAAAATGTTAAAAATAACATTAAAAAAAGTAAGCAGTGAACAATAAATGTAACATTATGCCATACTTAGAAGACAACGGTCACACAATGAACTTGTGTTCCTAAGTGGATTTGGTCTTTTCTCTACATGCATAAATACACTAAATGAACATTACCCATGTTACAGTGTGCTGTGTAAATCAGCAGATTGTGTTAAGTTTGGTGGGGTTCTTGTCCTGGACTGTTAAATCCATCTATAAGGTTTCTATTACAGTCATCAATGTGTATACTTTCGCTGGAGATCTTGGAATAGGTGGCCTGACCAGTGAAATCCAGAAGATCTTCCAAGGCTCTGGAATTATTAGTCCCATTCTCCAAAGAAACACTTGGATTGAGGTCATTCAGCGGTGAAAATTCTGGGATGGATATGAGCTCTTCTTTAGATGCTGGACTGCGAGAAAATATTGACAATTACTTACAGAGATACCCAATGTGCAAACTAAAAGCCCATGTTATATACAAAAGGAAAAAGGAAGGCAAGGTAGGCAACTGCATTTATTAAAGTGGTTCTAAAGGCAGAGGGTTTTTTTTTACTTTAATGCATTCTATGCATTAAGGTAAAAAGCCTTCTGCGTACGGCTCTCCCCTCAGCCCCATCTCGATCCAGCGATGTGCATGAGCTGCGGCTCTTCTGGGTCTCTCTCTCATTGACTCATGCAGCAGTGGGAGTCTTTGGCTCCTGCTGCTGTCAATCACAGCCAGTGAGCCAATGAGGAGAGGTCAGTGGTGTGGCCAAGCCACGCTGTGTGTGTGTGAATGGATAATGTCTATTCACAAGAGCGTGGCTCAGGAGTGAGCATGCTCAAGTGCCCCCATAGCAAGAGGCTTGCTATTGTGGGCACTCAGCAGGGCTAAAGAGCCAGGACAGCAGGCGGGGAACCCAAAAAGAAGAGTTTTGCACAGAGCAGGCAAGTATAACATGTTTGTGTGTGTTTTTTTTTTTTTTAATTACAACTTTTAGAATCCCTTTAATTACTGTATATAGGGGTTTTATGACATACTGGAAGGAAATTAAACCCTACACCCCATACATAAACCTGGCATTAAATAAATGAACAAAACTTCCATTTTCAGATGCTGCTTACCTGCTGGTTGTGCGGAGCCTTTAGCTTTAATGCTCCTTGAGTCACTGACGTGTACTAGGCATGCAGATAATCTATACCTGCATGCTTGTTCCAGGTCTGTAAATTCACTGGAGGGATGACAGGATCACGGGTATTTTTTTTTTTTTTTTAATGTGTAGTGCAATTTTGTGGTTATATGTATGAATTTCCTGGGAATACATGGCATGTTTTTCTATTAGAGTATAGTTGTACCCACAAGTATGTACAGATTCTACAGTTTATGGAATAGTTGTACTTAAAACCCTACAGTATGTATATGGCTACTATATGGAGATTGTTGTAATTTAAAATAAAAATTATATACAGCAACTGCTGTAACCACTAAAGCTTACAAACAGCCTGCAGAAAGGGCTATATCAGACATTTCCAATAAGTTCTCTCAGCATGGGGTCTTTGAAAAGATGGGGACAGTTGATTTCAGGCAAGGTATATAATATTACTAAACATTTAGTAGAATTTTAAGGTAGATGAACAGTAACCACTTGTTTGAACCAACTGGAGCTGTCCTGGTCTCTTGGTCAAACATTTTCAGACACATTTTCATAACAAAATTACCTCTGTCTGATTCCACCCCATCCTAATGAAGTAAAGAAGTCTTAAGATTCTCAAGGGCATTTCCACAGGACTTTAAAACCATGCACATATACAATACATTCCCAACCTTTAATTCTGATCTCATGTGTAAATTCAATTAAAGTTACACAGAGAACTTCCACAAACCCTACTAGTTCCAAACTTGCAATGGAAAGAAAACATTTGAAAACTGTTTGAATGTTATAAGAAACAAAAATGTATTTCATGCTTTTTCCATACATGGCCTATTTTCAGGATTCTGCACTCACTTTCACCAACACAAAATAATTCACATTACATCATGAGATAAAAGAATTTCTCCATCCAGCCAATAATCATTTTAGGGCTTACTTTTAAAAAGCCAGTTACATTGGTCCAGCTTCGTGACTATATGGAGCCAGCTTGGACCAATGTAGACAAAATATGTGCCATACTTGGCCAATCTCCATGGAGGCTGGAAATCACTGTAGTAGACACCACTATTATAGTGATCACTGATAACCTCTGGGTCTCATGCCAAGCACTGCCCTGCTGCTTAGTGAACACGGGTGGCTGCTTGCATGGCCCAAGCACCATTCACAGAACACTCTGCGTGTGTCCTCTGAATGGACAAGGCAAAGATCATGATAACAGTGCCTCAACTCTCCACCTCCACTCTTTACATTCATTGAGAAAATGCAAGCTCTCAAAATGTGTTCTTTGAATGGGGCATGTGCCCATGCAAAAGATGTCCTGTGTTCACAAAGCAGCAGGGCAGCCACTTGGCACAGGAACCAGAAGCTAGAGACGATCACTATAGTAGTGGTTCCTACTACAGTAGTTTAAAATTTCCAGCTTCCATTGGAGATCAGCTAGGTATGCCACATACATACTTATGGTAAAAAAATAAGGTGTAGGGAAGTTGCCAAAAACAAAATTATACATAAGGAAGATTAAGATTCCCCATGTTAAAAACCAGAAAAATACAATGTAAAATGCACATTTCCACATGTGAAAATAATCCAGTTATAAATGTATTATGTAAACTATGTTAACAAAGACATTACATTTATTTCACTTAGAACTTACACCACCCACAACAAAATCTAGTGTAATCCACCATTTTCCTTGGTGAGAGGCTGAAGTTGGAACTTTCTGTAGAGTAATGTCAATTTTGCTCCCCCCCCCCCCCCCCATCAATTACACCACAGTTCTCAAGTTTTCTGTTCTGTTTTTTTTGCCAATTTCTAATTTTGATCTTTATAAAGAGATTCCCTTCTATCTAGATATACTAGATATAGACTTTCACAAGGAACAGGGATCAAACAAAAGCCTCTGTTTTCCACCCTTACAGCATAATTCAACAAACTTTCTATGGGTCAAACCTTATTCTTCAGAACTCCATTCTTTTCTCTCCACCATACTGTACCTATCTTGACCTCTTTGCCTTCTAACCTAACCAATCTTTATTGTAAAACTCCCACTACCTTCTGTCACTACCATTTCCCATACCCAATTGGTCTATAGTGCTTCCCCTCTGCATCATCACTTTGATTATAAGCTTGTATAGGAAGGGCCCTCATCCATCATTGCTTGCAATCTAAATGAATGACACATGGTTGACATGCAGTATATGTTGCTGCTTTTTTTAAACTAATTAAGTACCTCACATCCATTGACTGAACTTCATCCGTGGAATCATCCAGACTGTTACATTTCACTTCAAATGCATCAAGTTGAATAAGGCTAACATTTGTTTTCAGGCCACTGGAGAACAATTCTTTAGGCTGTGTTTCAATGATTGCAACAGAAGGTTTCTTATTTTCTGTATGAGAGGATAACCCATTGACTTGCACTAAAATACCAGCATTCGGGAAAAAATAAAAGAGCAATCAGCACCCATATAAAAGTGTAGAATTGTATTTATTTACAACAGACCATGCTACTGAAGGTAATATCCCGTAAGTTATATTTGTATAGGTTATTGATGGTCAGTAGGGAGCATATGTGGACTTTCGATGAGACCGTACATAGGAGAATATTTATCATTACGCTGGAAGGTGTCTGTGTGACTGTTACTGGAAGCATAGTGAAGTACTTCAATAGGAATATAACTGTCTACCTTCACACAGCTCCAAGGCACAGACCTCCAATGTATTTGGGGAAACAGGTTGCAATATAACTCTACCCCTTGTAATTTGATATTAGAAGAAAGATCGTAAAATAATACAGTTTGCAAACGGCATTTTTTGCTTCTTGGTGGCTGTTAAGAGTTTGAAAATACTTGTCTTCTTGCCACATGGGTCTGTCCAGAGGCTCCTACATAGTTGTGGAATTCTATTTGTCTACAAATTCCCCTTAGGCACTTGGAGAAATCGTAAATGATTGTTGACCCAAAAATGAAATTCAATTGTACTCGAAATATGTGAGGCTGTATCCCCCATTTCTGGGGCAGTTCTCTGCCATCTTTACGTTTAGGGTGCTCCCAGTCATCCTAAAGCATTCTTCATATTATATAATAAATGGATAAAAATTTCAACAAGATGAGTGGGGCAACTACTTGTAACAGCAACAGTAAGTGTGAATCTCATGGACAGAGATCCTGCCACCCGAGTCACTAGCAGGTATAGGAAACCAATATCCAACGCAAATATAAATTGTTGGGTGGAATTTCCCACTGAACAAAAAGGAAAATCACAAAAGCCAATGAAAAAGTAAAAGGTAAATTACTGGCACTGCAGTAGCCTGTGTCCTCCCAAAACAGTTTTGTGTCACACATTTAATTTCTATTGGTACAATATACTAACCTAAAGTTAGACTTTTTTTTTTTTTTAAATCTGAATTACCCACCTGTTTTATTATCCCTTGTTATCCTTTCAGAAGTTAAAGATGACTGAACCTCAAGTTTTGATTCCTCTTTCTGGAAAAAAAAACAAAAAAACACACTATAACAAGGTTTTCATTTTTAAAATCCAATCATATGCAGAAATGGAACTGGAAAAACAAAGCTTGAACCATATGTAGTATACTGGTTATTTGTATTGTTATCTCAGGCAGTTACATATAATCCATCTCAGGTGAAAACAAAATGTACTTCCTGTACTTATTCAGCCATTCACATCCATCCCAGCCTAGCTTACAAATGAAAGCAATGACAACCTTACAAGTGCCTACACAATCTTTTTAGATCCAACTGGCTGATTTTAAAACTGAGCTAGCAAAAGTTTGCCTGCTTGGGCATAGGAAGGAGTGTGATGATTGCACTCTAGGGTTTGGAAAGTCACATCACGCAGCCTGCAATGGGAAGGGGGGTGGGGAATCAATGGCAGATCAGTTTAAATGTTTTACTTTAGTATTATTACTATTATTATACAGGATTTATATAGCGCCAATGGTTTGCATTATAGTGGGAGACAATACAGTAACAATACAGTTCAATACAAGAGGGAATTGAGGGCCCTGCTCCTTTATATACCAGTTCAATGTTCTAAAGAAAAAACACAGAAGCCATCGCAAGGAACATACCTTTGTTTCTTGAACTTCACTCCTCCTTGTCCTTTTCATGATCTCATCAATCCTCTATATAAAGTAAAAAAAGAACATCAGAAAATGGAGAGGTAGGTGGACGATGTCACAATCTCCACCTCACTCAGAGAAAACGCTGTACTCATAAAAATACAAAGCTCCCCATGAATGGCTAAGCAGCTGGCAGCCTTACTAGATATTGTACCGGGCGATGGGAAGTCGCTGTTATCACTGCCGAAAACACAGAGCTGTATACTATGTCGCTCATGTGACATACAGTTTATACAGTGCTAACAGCCACTGCATTGATTAGTAAAGAAAAAAATGTTTGGGACAGCTTGGTCCAAACAAAATATCTAAAGTCATGGCATACCTGGAATCAATCTGAAAAAGCAGTGAACAGTACTAAAATGCGGGTTCTATGTGGTCCAAGTATTTATGCTGGTCTTAAGGGATGAGCTAAATGAAGTTTTAATTTCTTCACTTTGGGTAAAATGTAGTCATTTTTGTGAAATACCATTTTTGCAAAATGTACTGAAGTCAATTTGAAAGGCGAAGGATCGCTTTAAAAATGTAATAGGCATTAAATGTCTCCTCTGGAGAATTTGAAAGTGATGGCATACAATTAAAGATCGAATACATATAAAAAAAAAAAAAAAGTGAAGAAAAAACAACAGTGAAAAAAACCCAGAAAAAACACAAATACACTAAAATGAAATAAGCTAAACTAACTTGCATACACCTAAAAACCCCAACCCCTCTAAACAAAAGTTGAAAATCAAATTTTACCCAAGCAGCTCAATGAGCTAATGTGTGCTTCCACTTTGGTGAAATTTCACCAATGCTAAAGTCTGTAAATTTGCCAAATTTTCTCTATTCATCCCCATTAGTCATCACATTGATCACATGAACAGATAATCCTACACAGTAATCCTACACTGTGACAGAACATGATATGCTGATGCAAGCAATTTCTGCCAACACATATTCAGTAAACACCAGAAGGCTTACCTTCTTTCTTTCCAGTCGTTCTTGTTCAATCTGCTGTATGATCTGTTCTCGCTCTACTCTCATGGCTTCTGCTGCTTCTCGGGCCCTTATTTCAGCCTCTTCTTTCTAGAAGTATTGGTACAAATGTAGGTCTCAAATATAGCACTAGCATAAACAAGACCCAGGATGGTTATGTGATTTATGAAGACAACTATGTCATATTAAATTGAGGATGGCATTTAGGTAGAATAAGGAACAGAAGCTTCCAGAACACATGCCATCTCTGTTAAAGGTTTCAGGTTCATTTTATAGATTTCTTTTTTTAATGTTCATCACATAAAACATACATAAATACTCTGATTCACACACACAATTTGAAAATAAAAAACAACGAAAAGGCAATAAGCACAGAACATATGCTAGATTTTCATATGGTGTACTAAGCTTTCATGTGACATTAAAAGTGATTCTATGGGCTTAATAAAAAAAAAAAAAAAAAAAAAAAAAAACAAAAAAAAAAAAAAACACAACACAGGTTGATACTTACCTGCTCTGTGCAGTGGTTTTGCATAGAGCAGCCCAGACCCTCCTCTTCTAGGGTCCCCCGATGGCGTTCCTGGCCCCTCCCTCCTGTCGGGTGCCCCCACAGAAAGCAGCTTGCTATGGTGGCACCTGAGCATGTGCACTCCTCAGCCAATGCTCCGAGTGTCCATTCACACACAGAGCCATGGCTCAGCCTGCCCCCTGTCTCTTCATTGGCTCACTGGCTGTGATTGACAGCGAGCGCCAATGACACCTGCTGCTGTCTCAGTCAATGAGGATAAAGAGTCTGGGGATAGCTGAGACTCCAGTGCACAATCACTGGATCGAGAGGGGGCTTAAGTGAGTATTTGGGGGAGGGGGGTGGGCTGTGGGAGAGGCTGCACAAAGAAAATGTTTTTACCTTGAGCCTTTACAGCCACTTTAAAGTTATCAGGTAATGAAAAGAATGCTTACAGAAAATGCTAATAGCCTGGCTATAATGCTGACCCATTATCTTGAAAAGCAAGATTTCCGAATATGGGAAAGAAATACTTTTTTTCTGGATTTATAATGGGAGCAAGACTAGGAGACACATTCAGTTTTTTGAAAAGTTCTGTGTGCTTTGCAATGGTTTAGTGGAGGTCTTTATGGCTGAATTTTTATTCTGTAATCAGAGACAAAACAGAAATATTTTATGACATGCACTGAATACATTATATTAAAATACTACCATATTGATCCTAAGCAGGTTTGATAACATTTTCAATAATTTAGGAAATGCATATAAACTAATCTTTGTTAGAAAAAAGAAAAAAAAAAGAAAAAAAAAAAAAGAAAGAAAAGCAGGAAATGGCCACAAACTGACTGCTCTAAGATTTGGATTACAAACACAAAGGGAACTTTACTTACCTGGTCCGGCACACTGCTAGACTGGTTCCTGCAGCCTCTTCCCCCTTGCACAATGGTGGTCAAATACTTCTGACATAATAAAGACTGATGCAGGGACTAAAGCCCTGCATGGGGCGTGAGGACACTGAGGAACAATACACTGAATGAGCGCAGGGAAGCAATTTTTGCTGGGGAAGCGGAGGTAAGAAAGTCCTTTATCACCCCCTATACATAAATGAGCAGTGAACCCTTGGGCTTTAAACACAATGGGTAGCATAACATTATTTGCTGTTGATGCCATACCAGCATTCACTGGATTGGGACTGTTGTTGGAACTACCCAGCTACCCACTCTCCTTCCCCAGTAGTGAATAAAACAAACATTGCCCTACCTCTGCCTCCCCCAAATATTTGAGCAATTAACACTCGCAGAAGTCACTCACTGAAGGTTCTGCAGGTAGGAATGAGATGTCCATGCACTGGTACCGGCTTGCGGCAGGTTGGTATTATTGAGGAGGGGAGAGGGACCAAACTACAGAAGCAAGCCTGGTATGGAAGAAGGTGCAATGATCTCTGATGAGAAGAGACTGGTTAAAACTACTTTCCTCTTTAGGGCATGTGACTTAAGTGTTTGCTTCAGATTAGTTTGGCGCTAGAAGATTAGAAAAGAACTCTGCACAGTACTGGAACTTGCTGCAGTCATGGGTGGAGCATCATACTTAGCGTGCATTGCTGGGCTCATTCTTGCAGGGACTTCAAATACGACTATAGGCAAAACTTTGCCAATTTTTTTCCAATTTGGATAGAATAAGGGTGTTTTTTTTGCCATCCGTTTCCCATTGGGATGATTTACCTTCACTTCCTGTCCTATAGCCAAAACAGGGAGTGGCAGGAAATCCGTGCAAATTAAGGGAATCCCTTGGGGTCCCCCCAAGTCATAGAGAGGGTGTACCTCCCCAACAGAAACACAAACCGAAATTAAAACCTAATAGGTGTTCTAATCTATCTCCACTTTGGCCAAACCTTAAAAAAGAAAAAAAAGAAAATGTTAGAAATGCCTTGCCTATCAGATGCAACTATGTGTATACTATATGCCTTGGGGATGAAGTTATCTTATGGGGGAAACATATCAGTGCTTGCTTTCAAGCCTCTCATGAAAATAATGGCATTATCTGAAGTGTTGTCTCTTTTTCAATGCCTACAAATGTGAATATTTTGTGTTTGCACACACAGTCACTTTTCCAGCAATAATCAAACTGTTACTAATGAAGATACCATTATGTCATTTACCTGCTTTTCCAGATAGGCCTGCAGTTCCTTTTCTTGTTTTTCCTTCAGAAGTCTTTCTTCCTCTGCTTTTCGGTTTGCTTCTTCTTCTGCTTTCCTTTTGGCTTCCTCCTCTTCTTGCTTTTTCTTCTCTGCCAGCAAAGCTGCTTCTGCTTGTAAACGTTGCCTCTCCTCCTCCGCCCTTCTCCTCTCCTCTTCCTTCTTCAGCCTGGAAGCACACAATACAGTAAGATTAGATTATTTTACAGGAGAGAAATGGGATGAAATTTCTTGTGAAACATCTGTAAAAATGAATTGGTTACCCTGTCACTAATATTACTGGATCGGCTCATTTTCTAAACTACAAACTAGTCTCCTTAAACTGGCCATAGACACAATGTGGAGCTTAAAGAAAACTTGTATGAGGAAAAAAAAGAGCTGATTTTGCTTCTGTAAATGCTTGGCAATATGCTGATACTTTGTCTTAAATACTCTGAAGTCACTGATCTGGAACAAGTATTAAGGTATAGAGATCTATCTTATTTGACACATGCATGTTCCAGGTCAATGGCACAGAAGTATTGATAGCAAGACAGTAGAAGGAAATGGAATCTCAGTTCCCTCCCAACAGGAATAAAAAGTAAAAGACTAAAAATTGAGAGGATCAACACAACACATTAGTCCATAGACATATACTGTACGTGGCAATCTATATATTTTTGTAAGCAAGAAACTCCATTACTAGAATAGCCATAGTTTTTGAGTCAAATGTTTTATTCCAAGAGTTTTGAGACCCATATCAATTACGACCGTACAGTAAACATAACACTTGTAAAATGGTTATTGCATCTCTCTAAGCTGAACAAAAAAAGAAGCAGAGAGCCAAGGAGTAAGAATAGATATTAAGAACAAAATTGGACAGCTAAGAGGCTGTGCTCTATGAAATAACAGCTGAAAACCACGGTAAAGCAGGAGGAGAAAAGGGAAGGGGAGATCAGGAACAGAAAGAACAAAAAACTAAAAAGAGTAATAAAAGTAGTCAGCGTAATCCACCCTGTCACTGATAAATATTCAGGACAAATAGCAAGATGTCCAGGATCTGGAAACCTTAAAAAAAAAAAAAAAAAATCAGAAAGGAAAATGTGCAGGAAACATGGTGCCCATTTACTGTGAGATTAAGGTATGGAATTTGTCTGAAGACTAGCCATAGTTTTTAACACTTGCTAATATTTAAACTACAGTTTTCGGTGTGGTAGAAAACATCTATGGCTGAAATAATATCATCAATAGCTCCCCATCCAAACTATTTATTGCTATATGTAGCCTTATTCAATAAAGGATTAATGCTATAACCTATAAAAAAAAAAAAAAAAAAAAAAAAAAAAAAAAAAAAAACTTTGGAAAAGGCTGGTTGTCCTTAAACATTGAATGTTTTAAAAATATAATCATATTCTTATCTTTTTAAATGCATTATGTACAGTACAGATATGGCAATATGATAAAATTAAACTTTAATTTATATAGAGCCATTAACGTTAGCTTCTCAAAGCGTTTTACAAATGCAAGAGAAACAAAAACCCAAGAAATCCACAAGATTAAACAAAAGAAAAAAAAGGGATAATTAAGTGAAAGCTCATGTAAAGAAAAAGGTTTTTAGATTTGATTTGAATGAATTTCAGGAAGAGGACTCTGATATTCTTTGGAAGTGAATTCCAGAATTCCAGAGTTTTGGGGCATAGAAGGAGAAGGCTCTGTCTCCCATCGCGTGCGTGCCACGCCACGAATGGGGTGCCAACCACAAAGTTCCTTATACTGTAGGTGAGCAGGAGAATTTTAAAATCTATGTGAAACCTTACGGGTAGCCAGTGCAAGGACTTCAGGATAGTGGTAATATGGTCATTTGTACCAGACCAAGTGACTATTATGGCTGCAGAATTTGTACATATTGTAGTCAATAGTGGATTTAGGCATACCAGCAAGTAGAGCACTGCAGTAGTTAAGTCAGGAAAACACAAATGTATGGATCAATTTTTCAGCTACAGTGCATGATAGCATAGGACGCAGGTGAGCTCAAGTGGGGAAAAAAAGATGCTCTAACAACATTTTGTACATGTAGCTCAAAGGTTAAACTAGCATCAAATATCACCCCTAGATTTTTCAGTTTAGACTGAAACTCAAGTAAAGTGTCATCGATAGACAGATTACCAAGACTGGCCTTACTAATTGATGGCGGATCCCAATATGCATGACTTCAGTCTTGTCACAGTTTAATTGAAGCAAATCGTGGGCCATCCAAGTTTTTATATCACAAATACAGTTAGATTGGAGAGAAGCCAAAGTAGAATCCGGTTTAGTGTGGATGTATATCTTAGTGTCATCAGAATAGAAGTGATAATTGAGCCCATGTGATCCAAGTAGTTGGCCAAGTGGAAACATGTAAATATTAAAAAGTAAGGGACCCAAGATTGAGCCCTGATGAACACCGAACTTGACTGCAACAAGTACAGATTGGAATCCACCAAGAGAAATAAAGTGATAGCAATCAGTGAGATATGACAAACCATTTTAAAACTAATTCTGAGACTTTAAATATGGTTTCAAAGTGAGAGAGTAAAAGATTATAATCTGCAGTATCAAAGGCAGAATGAAGATCCAGTAGGATAAGAATAGTTAGTGAGCCGTAATCGGAAGCGAACAGAAGGTCATTAGTGATTTTGACCAAGGCGATCAAATAGGTTATTTAAAGTCAGGTGGTTATGTAATTGAGGTGTCACAGCCTGCTTGAGGATCTTGGCAAGGAAGGGTAAAGTTAGGTATGGGGTGAAAGTTGTTTAAATTGTCCAGACCAATGGTTTTTTTTGGTACTGAGGTGATGGCTACAGTTTTAAAGATCATTGGTACAAAACCAGTGCTAAGGGAGTCATTTATGATATTGAGAATAATGCATAGGGAACTAAAACAGGATATAAATAAATAGGATCAAGTATGCAGGTGGAAGATTTCATATTAGAGACCAATTTAATCAGAGATGCAGAGTCAAATAGAGAGAAGTGGGAAAGAGGAGAACCAGTAAAACTGGGTGGGTCAGGAAGTGATGTGGAAAAACGTGCTGTGTTAAGAATTTGATATCTTACTATGAGGCCTGTAATGTGGAGGGACAAGGTTTTAATAATCTATCAATGATGCAGAAGAGTTGTCTAGGGTTTCTAAGACTTTTTTCAATGGCATGGGAAAAATAGATTGACCTAGCAGTCTCAATTTAACCCATATAGTCACACAAATAATCCTTCCAAATCTGATAATGAACAGTTAGGCCAGAACAGCGCCACCTACGCTCAAGGCTCCACAAGACTGCCTTCATTGATTGTAGGTGGTAATTATACCAGGGAGCTGGATGGAAAAATTAGATGGTTCTAAGAGTTTTAAATGGGGCAAAGGTGTCAAGGGAATTGGTATGAGGAGTGGCAGCCAAACGCTCCAGCTCTCCCTCCACAACCAGAAGAGCCATAATAAGTCATAGGTATGTTTGGTTACTCTAGGCAAGCTGTTCTGATACACATTGTAAAACTACTTAAGCTCAACTGTAAATAAAAATACACCAGGTCTGCATAAAAATATTGTAAATTTGTGTTTACACCTATTAATTTTAACTGTGCTGGGTGGGCTAGTGTAATAATACCTATGATGTAGACACAGTATTAGGAAGGTGGGTACTTCAACAACAGCAATCAGTCTGTGCCTATGCCCCCTACTGTTATCTAAATTATTACAATACAAAATACTCATCTGTATGTTTATATTATACTTCTTTATATACATTTTCCTTTTGATCATCAACCTGACCCACCTCTCAGCCTCCTCGCGCTCACGTCTTTCTTGCTCTTCTTGTTCCTTCTGGAATCGTGCCTGACGCCTCTTCTCTGCCAGTATCTTTGCAGCCTCATCAGCATCAGTTGTCCCTGCTGTGATTTTTCCAGAGCCTTGAACAGGAAAGGCATAATAAATTGCAGACAATGTATAAAGTCCCTTCAAACCCCTGTTGATTGGTGAAAGTACAGCAGCAGTTTTTGTAAGGCTGGCGCTGTCCATAGTGCTGAACCCCTTTCTTTTAAATTTTACAAAAAAATACTGTATGTAGTCACACAGGCAACTTGCCTATTAATGTTTACAGGTATGCAAATAGTAAAAAAAATATTAAATTTTCTTAAATTTAGCTTGAATATATCTGGCAATGTACAGAATATCTAGTGCTGGATCTCCTTCATCCATTAACCACCAGGAACCTTAACTGGAGAGCAAAGGCTCCCCTTGCACAAATCGCTGAGCACAATACCCAGTATGAAGAGTGATGTAACTATTACATGAAGTGAGTACATGTACTCACTTTACTGTGATATAACAAATAAGATGTTAATAGAGTATTGTTATCACAGGGAACTCCAGAGTCCCCTGCTTTCCTACCGTTACTTGGTAGCAATTTACCTCGCTTCTCTACTGGTGTCTGAGGTGTAGAAAAGGAAGCCTGTTTTCTACCAGCGATTTTGATAGGGAACACATTGTGTGCATCTTTATGTGTCTTGTGAAGAGATCCTAGAAGTGTGCTGCAACTCCACAGAGCATTATAATTCGTGAAATGATATTACTCACTTTCATTAGCATCTTTCTTCTCACTAGTAGAGAGACTTTTCTCTAGTTTGGAGGATTCTGTTTTCTGTTCCACGGGATGTTCCTCGGTTTCGGGACTCGTTTTGGATTTCTCTGGTCTCTTTTTAGGTGCATCTTGGCTGGTATTTGAGCTGGATCGAGTTTTCATAGGAGATGCTGGGAACTGCTTGTTGTTTTTCACTGGAGACTGTGCATATGACTTTGAGAGTGATCTGCAAATAAAAATATACATACAGGTATTGAGTTCTGCTAGGATCCAAAAACAACAAACATTCTAAAACTAGTGTAAAATAAATCTAAAAATGTGAGTTTACAGTGATGACCTAGAAATTTAACATGTCTTATATTAACCAACTTAGCTTTTCTTTCTTTTAGCATAAGTTAGAAACATAAAGCATATTTTTAAATTGTTGCAGGCTCTACCTACACCCTGGGCACAATTTACTTTAGTCAAAATCCAGTTTTAAGCATGATGCAGCCATCTTTTTCATGTCATGCACCTTTTACAGTCTCCAGCAGCAATTCTGGTAAAATTATTATTATACAGGATTTATATAGCGCCAACAGTTTGCTCAGCGCTTTACAATTATTAAATGTCTAGCACTATTTTCAGCTGTCATGTTAGGACATCCATTTTCCAATGTGAAAGAATAAGCCCCCTTTTCACTTTAGTCTGCTGCTTTTAATAATGAAGATTTCACTAAACTCCAAAGCAAAACTCATAACCACAATCTGTATTTTGCAACCCATTGATAAAACACAGGCAGCAGTATTGAACAGATGGTATCCTACAGAGTTTCCTCTGCTTTACCCTGCAGATAGAACTCTGATTGGAGGGAACAAAATTAGAGAAGAGCACAGTAACCATTTCTACTCCAAACTCCATTTTAATAGCACTTCGCCAGCTTGTCCTAAAGCTAGCAGAGCGATAAGCTCCTTTGTAAAGTACAATTGTGCCTTGTAAATGTGCATTTTATATTTTAATCAAATCAGCAGTATGGCCACATTGAGGCCACAACACAGCTTCATACATGTCCTCCATTAGATCTGTTTTTAACTGAAACAGGAAGTAAGGGCTCTCTCCAATGAAAACACAAATAGTAATGTTTATAGAGTTAGAAACTCTGACACCTTTTGTTTTATTGGTGAGAAAAATTAATGAAAGTACAAACTGGCCTATGTTCGAACGTCTCTGTTCAAATTGCCTAGAGTTGGCCTCGCAGTAGCATTTTTTCTGTTTATGACTCTAGAAAAGTTTATAGAAGGTTTAGAAGAAGAACATAACACATCCATAGTGCTCTATCCGAAATCATACTTTGGTGTTGCTGGAGAAGATGATCTTTTGGACAGGGTTGCAGGGGATTCAGATCTTCTGAGAGGAGAACCCAGGGTACTGGCTTGTACAGGAGTTGTAGCTCGTTTTTCTTTCTTTAGCTTTTCAGGCTATAAAATTAGAAAATCAAACTAAACCTGGAGTACTTGGGAAAAGAACAGTTAAAGTGTTACTAAACTTTTATTTATTTATTTTTAATTAAAATAAAACAGGTTATATTCACCTGCTCTGTGCAGTGGTATTACACAGAGCGGCCCCAATCCTCCTCTTCTCAGGCCCCCCCCTCTTTTATTTATGTCCCCATAGCAAGCCATTTGCTATGGGGGCATATGGTGTCTGCTTGCTTCTGAGCTGTGTCTATGGAGCAGTGCTCCATAAACACAACACACACACACACACACACACACAACAGGACTTGGCCCCACCCCCACTTCCTCCTCACTGCATTTGACAGACAGTAGCAGGAACCATTTGGCTCCTGCTGCTGTTCAAGTCCCTGTGTGAAGAGGAAGAAAGGGGAGAAGAGATGAAGGGGATCTATTCTCCCCTCTCTTGCCCTTCACACAGGGAAGGTGGAGGACAGAGAAAAATAGAAAAAATTTTTACCTTAATGCAACGTATGCATTAAGGTAAAAAAATTTTTAGCTTTCGTATCAATTTAATATAAAACCACAAATCCTTTAAGAACTGGTCTAGGTTACAGCTGAAAACTAATCATGCAATAAATGTAAAATTACATTTTAGCACAATCACAAAGATCAAACACATTTTCACAATGCGTATAAGGTGATCCCTCACCCAGATATGAAGTAAAAATCCACAGGTGCAGCCTGATCTTTCCTGGATCAGGTGACAATTAACATGTTGCTCAGATAAAAATCCATATGATCTTATAGGACATGGAGGAAGTCAAAGTGAACTAAAATATATAACTGTCTAAATTCCAATAAGGAAAGTATGGTAAAAAGGGCAAAAACAGACAGTGTCTTCTAATGAACGATTATTATGAAGTTAATCTACTTATATATTCTGTATTCTATGATAAGATAATCAGAAAGCCTTCAAGCGTTCCTAAACCCACAACAGTAAAAATCAGTCTGTATATGCAGTAAAGCATGCTGGTTATACTCACTGTGAAACCTAAGGGGTTAATCCTCTGCATTGTGTAAAGAGGCTGTTTGATCCGGTCTTCTCTGATCCTACCCTTCTTCCACTGTCCCCAATCCATCCGCTGATAGTACAAAGCCATAGGAGGCACTCTGCACATGCTCAGTTTGTTGTGTATTGCTAAAGATTTTTTTTTTTTGGGGGGGGGGGGGGGGGGGGTGCATGTGATCGGCACAGGGCCAATCAGCACTGTTCAGATAGAGGGTCAGGGATCATGCAGCCTCATAGGACAGTCAGAGGAGAATGAAGACTCCTCCTACAAGCTTTGATCAGTGCTCGGCCCGACACTAATAGAAGTCACCAGACTGCTATATACTGCTGATGTGAAAAGGTATTTAGCAGTTTATATTTACTAAAATAATTGCATTTCCATATTCTGTGGGAGACCAGATATAGTGAATGCAGGGTCCTGGGTTTAGTTGGTAACACTTTAATGATTTACTTAATTAGCTAAAACATGTTCAAATCGAATAGAAGGTTCTGTTCTAATTGCCGAGGTATGAGAGACTATGAAAGATTTTTTCTGAAGTAGTAACCCATACTAAAGAATCAGAACTCACTCTTCTGAGAGGCGGAATCAGAAAAGATTAATTTTACTTACCGGTAGTTGCTGTAAGCTACTACACTGCATAATAAGTACTCCTGAAAGACTAGAAATGCTCATCCTAAAAAATCTATAACACTAGACGTGTCTAGAGTTGTTGGGGTCCTTGTCCAGTTGCTGGTCGGGCTCAGCTGTGCACAAGCTGCAAGGTGCAACAGTCTTCCTAGTCTGTATCAGCTGTGCAGTGTACAACAGCAAGGTGGTTCTCGAAAAATCCAGTATCACCCGACTTCCCAAAAGCTCCACTGAAGGAACCCCCAAAAGCTCCTCTGTCATCTGTTTTTCGCTTTTTACGTCACCAGCGACCACTACTGAGTCGGAAGTACTCAAGACAAAGCCTATGTCATCCAGTATCCAGAGGAGGGAGCCCTGTATGCAGGTTGAGCACCCATCCACCCTTAAGGGGACCTCTGGACCCAGCAATATCCCATACCTAACCCAGGCTGACTGACCAGATCTCAGAAGGATACCCACCACCTGCTGACTACAGATTACCATCTAGGATTAATATTCCTACATGCGCATTATCCATGCGCTTCTGGTGAGTGCGCACTTCTGTTATTTTAGTCACAAGTCCATTGGGATAACTGCTTCATAGGAAAACTACACTACAGCTGGTGCCTACTGTTGAACTCTATTGATAGACTTACCTCACAGGAGCCTTCTACCTCATCATCTATTGAGCGCTGCACTTTATTTACTTTATGAATTAACTGATTAACCACATTTTTTTTAGAACACCAAGTTAAATTTCACTTTTCACTTGCCACACCCAGACCTGATTACTGCCAAACCTGTTGAATCAAGAAATCACTTAAATAAAAGCTGTCCGACAAAGTAACGCACACTAAGAGACCTCAAAATGCAACACACCATGCCAAACAACTAAACAAATTCAAGAACAGATGAGAAAACGTAAATGAACATTCATCAGTCTAGAAAGAGTCACAAAGCCATTGCTAAGGCTTTGGGACTTCAGCAAACCACAGTGAGAGCAATTATCCACAAATGGAGAAAACGTGAAGCAGTGGTGAACCTTCCCAGGAGTAGCCAGCCTACCAAAATTACTCCAGGAGCACAACGACTCATCCAGGAGGTCATAAAAGAACCCAGAACATCTAAAGAACTGCAGGCCTCACTTGCCCCAGTTAAGCTCAGTGTTCATGATTCAACAATAAGAAAGACTGGGCAATCCATGGGAGAGTTCCAAGGCAAAAGCCACTGCTGTGGCTCGTCTCACATTTGCCAAAAAACATCTTCATTATCCCCAAATTTATGGTCAAATATTCTGTGGTCTGAGGAGACAAAAGTTGAACATTCTGTAAGGTGTGTGTCCCCTTACATCTGGTGTAAAACTAACACAGCATTTCACAATCAAACATGGTGGTGGTAGTGTGGTCTGGGGCTGCTTTGCAGCTTCAGGACCTGGATGACTTGCTATAAATCAATGGAACCATGAATTCTATGTGCCATCAGTTTGTGATCTCAAGCTCAAGTGCACTTGGGTTATGTATGAGAACAATGATCCGAAACACACCAGCTAGTCCACCTCTGAATGGCTAATAAAAACAAAATTAAGGTTCTGGAGTGGCCTAGTCAAAGTCCAGACTTAAATCCGATTGAGATGCTGTGGCATGACTTTAAACAGGCTGTTCACGTTTGAATGTGGCTGAATTAAAACAATTTTGTAAATAAAAAATGCACCAAAATTCCTCCACAGTGATGTGAAAGACTCAATTTCAGTTATCGCAAATGCCTGATAGCTGGTTGTGCCACCCTTGGTGCCAACAACTGCAATTAGATTTAGGGGGAAATTACTTTTTCACATAGCCCAAGAAGGCTTGGACTGCTTTTTTTTCCCCTTAATAAATGAAATCATTTAAAAACTACATTTTGCATTTACTTGGGTTATCCTTGTGTAATAATAAAATCAGTTTGTATATTTGTGACACCTAAATGAATCAGATCATCAAACAAATTAAAAACCAGGAAGGGGCAAATATTTTTTCACGGCACTGTATATCCTGCCAAATTGTGATCAATTGATATAGCAAACAAAAATGTAAACCTAGGTAACTCAATATTACTCCAAATCCAACAACCTATAATTTTTAAAACGTTATAAAACACAAGTATAGACGCAAAGCCACACTTTTAAAATGGACCCCATTTATGACCCCATTTATAAACCCAAAATAAAGCAAATAGTTACTTTTAGTTATGGGTTCTTGCTTTGTTTATATTTTATTAAAAGACAAGATGTGAGGAGAAAAGTCAGATGAGCTGAAAAAACTAATTAATTCTATACATGAGCTGATTAGGTGGGTCACAGTTCAACACATGGTCTTGACTGGTTGTCCACTCACTATGAAGGTTAGATGGTGGATACAGTGATAAACCTTGTGGTCATGCTCATGAAAACAAAAATAAGCATGTCTAACCACATAGCATAGACATCACTAAAGAACTATAGAAGACATCACACTGGCCACTTCAACTGTTCTGCCCAACTGAACATTTTACGGATATTGGCAGACAATTACAACTGGGCTTGAACTCAAGAAGTCATCTTTCGATTCCATATATATTAAACATTTAAGATGGGACCATGCCTGTTAATTTTCAATGGATAAAAATATTTCAAATCATTTCAAGTGTAATAGTTTTCTCTAGGTACTATTATGCCATAAAGCTTTAGGTGATGCATTTATTTTCACCAATGTGGAAAGCAGCTGGGATGTTCACGAGTATACGAAGCACTTCAGCTATGGCCCAAACAAGGCTAGTAGGTAATGTTTTAACTTGCAGTGTTCTAACATATATAAGTTAGATGTTTCATGGTAAAATGAAAGTAGTAAAGAATAAATTGTTCACCTGTGACTCTGGGGTAGTTGGTGTCTTTGCTCCATCAGATCCATTAGGGGATGGCAGGGTCTTCTTCCGCTCAGTACTCCGTGACGGGGAAGATTTGTAGGGAGATTTAAGAGGACTAGCAGGGGCTACACGAGGACACACATGATAGACTAAAGAGTTATAGTGCAAAGGCGAGGAACACAAGATGGTAAAGTAGGAAAATTACAGCAGAAGGAGGGGGAAATACAACAATACGTTAGATTAATATACCGTATAACATATGGTCAACATCCACCAGAAGAATGTCCTACAGACAAATCAATTATGGAGATATAACATGCATATTGCACATTTCATTAGTAAACCTGTGCTTACATTATATTGATTTTGGATGCAAATCAAGTGACCAAGCAGCTTTCACTAAATGCCAGAAGACAGAAAAAGGAAATAATGTACAGCGACTACAGACAATGTTAAAGTGTTTCTAAAGTCTCAAGGTTTTTTACCTTCATTCATTCTATGTATAAAGGTAAAAAACCTTCTGTGTGCAGCGGCACCATCAAACACTTAACTAAGCCTCCTCTTGATCCAACGATGTCCAGGAGAGTCTTGGTTCTCCGGGGACTAGCTTTGCTGTCAATCACAGCCAGTGAGTCCATCAGGAGAGGGAGGGGGTTGGGCCAAGCTGTGGCTCTGCGTGTGAATGGACATGCAGAGCAGCGGCTCTGGAGCACACATGCTTGGGTGCCACCATAGCAAGCTGTTTGCTATGGGGGCACCCGACAGGAGGGAAGTTCCAGGAGTGCCAACGGGAGACCCAAGAAGAGGAGGATCTGAGCTGCACTGTGCAAAACCACTGCACAGAGCAGGTAAGTAGAACAGGTTTGTTATTTTTAAGAAAAAAAAAAAAAAAAGACAAGACTTTAGTGTCACTAAGTATTTTTTTTTTTTAATTCATAAAATGCCCTTACCACCACATACTAATACAAATAAAAGTGAAAATAATATTACTCAAGTTGCTTTTTCCTGGACACTTAAAATTCCATTCATTTACATATCCTAAAGGGCCATTTCCAAGTACTTCTAAGTGCAATTTATTTTTGCATGGATTGCTTAATTATAGACACGGATTAGCTGAAGGGACAGTAAACCCAGCTTTCAGCGTGTTTAATAAAAAGATATCTGCCAACACCACAATAAATTTCTGCCATTCACCCCCTTTTGAGCCATACTTGGTAGGAAAGGGTGACCACGAGGCAATCAGAAAAAAATCTGCTAACTTGAGCGTATTAATTAAACTTTAACCAAAAAAAAGTAAGCTTACTGGCTTCTATGCAAAGTTGCACTAGATTTTGCACTCTTCGTTTTTAGTAAGTCAGCCTGTGATTGGTTGTTATGCAGTACTGCACTTCTTCCTTGACTAAACAAACCTGAATGTTCAACATCTTTCTGGTAAATTGGTATGTTTACAGACGGGCTACTTTATATTTTATGAAATTAAATTTTTATGCTAGGAAAGAAATGATTAGGTCTACTGGCCCTTTTAGAAAATGTTAAATAACAAAAAATATGATTAAATTACAACAAATAATGAAAATGATGGATTGAAAAATGAAATGAAAGCACTAAATAAAAAAAAGGGAATAAATCAACTGTACAGTATATGTAGCTAACTATTCACCTTAAAGTGGATCTGAGCTCAAAAAACAAAGATTTGCTATGTTATAGGGACCATTTGGAAACGTAATCGTGGATACAAAAGTCTGATGTACAAATATGGCACTCCCTTATGTTATGCTATCAAAATAAACACAAGCCCTTCTCCTTTCCCACTGATTTTCAGCTTCCTCGGACTGTGATAACAGGTAAACCTATGGAATCTATGGGAATTCTCTGTCACCCAGACAGGGAATCTAGAAGACAAGGTGGAGAAGCATGCTGTGTAAGGACTTGGGCACTGGAATACAGAAGGTGATTCATATTTACAAATCATCCTACCAATAAAAATGTCACTAAAATTATCAAACAAATGAATGTCAAGTTTAGTCTTAATAGACTTTATGTATATTATTCAGTTGTACATTGTAACCTAAAATAGGTCATACAAAACAGTATCTGACTTTGTGAAGGAATGCAGCTATGATTTATGAAACTTTGCAACTTTTCATATTACTGATATGTGCCTGCTGTACCACGTATTTGTGTGAAAGAATCCTGTTCTCTTTGTATTGCTTCCTTTGTGTGATATCCCTGGTGTTCCTGCCAATTCCCCTTGCTTTCTTAGTTAAAAAAAAAAACAAAAAAACTGACCACATTAGGCATGGGAGAACAGTGTGGTTTCTAGCTGTGTTGTGAGCTAATCCAACGATCAGGTTTGTGCTGATATGCCTGCTCCCTGTAAAACCCTTCACTGGGAAGATCAGTGTGCTGCTGTTCTCCCTGAGCTCCTTATCCAGAGAACAGAGGTTATATGATCACTTATAAAGAAGGGAAAAAAAGTATTTATGTTTTTTTTACAGGTTTACACAAATGTTTTGCCTTTCATTTCTATTTTAAGCTGAATGGGTTGTTATACAAGGTGAGGGTTTACATAATCTTTAAGTTGATCAATTTACATTGTTCAATTAGTGAACGCTGACTACATCAAAATCTGATATTTCACTGTTGTGTAGTTCTAAGTGAGTTGAAACACATTTTTGTTCCTTAAATTTCTCTAGCACTCATTCCTTAAAGAGTTTGGCCTAACTACTGTTGCCATTCAGATTTTAGCGACCCAATAACTTCGGTTTTCTTTTGGCACATTACCTGACATGGAATGACATGACTCATTTAGCGCAGCTACACTCCTGCTCCTGGTTAAGGAAGAGTGCGTTGGAGTCAGCAGTCGAGTAACAATGAAATTTTCCATGGGACTAAGATACAAACGATGGGCTGAAGGATGCAAGCAAATGAATGTTAGAACAAAAAAAAAAAATAAAAATATGAAATGAGATAATGCCAAACAAAATCAACTGATGAAAATAAGTATAAAGGAAGGATGATATATAAAAAAAATGAAAAGGGCAATCAATTCCAGCTATGCTATTTGTTAGTTGGCTACATTTCCAAAATTCGATTTTACAAATACATTTACTTCATATATGAAGGACAGGTGCTCTAATATATCTAGGGAAACCTGTACATGCATTAGTTCAAGCACTTGGCCTTCACGGTTTATACCTGTCATACCACCGGAGAGAAACCATGGAGGCCCCCCATTGCTTTCTCATGCTGTAAAAGTTGGTGGTCTGGACATCACGATGGTCCTTGGCTTTAAATACTCACCAAAACCATGATTGGTATACAGAAAAGGAGATCTAATGTAAGTCTGACTTTAATCACCCACGCACTTGCTGCAGGTCAGTGATTCAGAAAGAGTGCGAGTCAGTTGTTTGGACAATAGTCCTGCCACTAGTATTTTCAGAATCAAGTTACAATTTTTTTTTTTTTTTTCACATGAGGTTCAACATGAGGTAGATCCAACCAATCAACTATATTGTAAAGCCTGTTTTGACACACATATAGGGATCTAGGTGTAAATAATTATCTGTACAAAAGTGACAAAGAAGATTGCTGTATTTTGTGTAATATGATTATATCCTATGATCCTAAGTGTCATCTAGTGGCCATAATGTAGTAATTTTAAAAATCTCAATCAGGAAAAATCTCACATTAGGGCCATTATGGTACTTCTGATCAAAAGTAAGTAAAACATATTACACAAAATATGGTGATTTTTGTTGGGACTGTGCTACTATTGGCCATATTTGTACAGCAAATTGTTTATACATAGACCTATTAAAAGTGTAACAAGTTAGCATGGAGAAACTTAGGCCTTTTTTCACACAAACATTCCAATCGGGTCCACCTGCCTGTTTTTTCAGCGGACCAGATCGGAACCTCTATTCTCCTCTATGAAGCGGCAGTTGTAAACTGACTGTCCGTTTACACCCACCTACATCCAATCTGATCCGATCTGCTAAAAACAAACAGATGGGGATCCATTCCCCTTGTCTGGCCAGCTCGGACTAGATGGCAATCAGAGGTAAACAGAAAGGTGTTCTGTTAACATCCGACCGCCCATAGAGGAGAGCGGGCTGGGTCCCAATCCGCTCTGCATAAGCAGAGCAGACATGGAGACATCCGTCTGCTCAGTGGAGATCAGCAGACAGATCCCCTGATGAGCAAGCAGATCACAGGCAGAGTCCACCCCATGTGAAAGGGGCCTTAAGCTGGTCATACATCAGTAGAATTTTTGGTTTTGAAAAAATTTGGTTTTGGAACATTTCGTTTGATTTTCTAATAGTACATAGGGTCTAATGGATGATCATTTGCATTTGATCAAACGTAGTGAGAAAAATTGAAGGAAGAGGATAGAACATTTGTCTGAAACAAAATTCTAACTGTGGATGTGGTTTTCGTTTGGTAAAAATAGTAATAGTTCGTAGTGGTTCATAATGGTACTATCAAAAACACTGAATGATTAATCTGAACTTCTGTTCAAACGTAATTCTGCTGGTGTATGGTCAGCTTAAAGTGTAACCAAAAGGCACTTTTTTTCTTACTTTTAAGTGGAGAGGGATTAGAACACCTGTCAGGTTTTTATTCCTGTGTGTGCGTTTGTTCCGGAGATGCAGACTCTTTAATTGTCTTGTTCATCAACACCAAGAGTGAAAGTGAAAAATTTCCAAATTTTTGGTTGTCACCAGAACAGGAATAGAGGGGAAATCTTTGAAAGGGGACACTAGTTTTGGTGATAACCAGGTATTTTCCTCACTGTTCTTTATTCACATCATTGTGCTCAGTACGGAGCCATCTATTGGGCATTCACTGCAACTGCACTCTTTTGTACTTTGGTCAATAAAGAACAGGGAGTGTCTCATACTTGTTAAAAATAAAGATTTCCCCACCTACCACTGCAGCCATTTTAACTTTCTGAAGAACACCAGTGAAAGTCTCCTCCATTCTCCCTTTGATACACATACGATTTGTGATATGTGAATTGTAGTAGCGGTTTGTAAGAAATGTGTTCATTGTATGCATTTATAAGACACATACAGGCAAAATTGTAACTTCAGTTTATGTGATTGTATTGCAGAACTACTCA